GGGGCTTTGCCCCCCCGGGAATCATCCACGAACATCCCCCACACACGCTCCCCGAAACGGGGACCCGGCCCCACACGGTGTTGTGCCACCGTCGCCGGTGGCGGAGCTGTGGGCGGCGGGGGCCGGTGCGTCACCCCGAAGCTTCGGTTACGTTCCCGCGTGTCCCATGGAGAGGTGTCCGTCCCCCGGGGACGGCTGCGGATCTGCCAGGCTGAACCGGACGGTGCCACCGTAAGAGCCCCGGTGACACCGAAACAGCCCCGGTGCCGGGGACGGAGGGGTCCGCGGGGATCAGGCCGCTGCCGGTGCCCCCACCGCTGTCACGGGCACCTCTGTGACCCCTTCGGCATGGCGAGGCCGAAGAAGACCCCGGTGCCCCCCCGGGAGAGGTGCTGCCACCCCCTCCCCACGGCCACGGGCCCCCTCGGCTCACGCAGCCCAACGCCGAGCGGGACCCTTCACCGCGCCGGCAAAAAACCTCGTCCTGGGGAGCTGGGGGCTCAGAGGGGCCCGGTGGGACGGTGACAGCGGTGGCATTGGGAACAGCCCTGGCCCCCCCAGCCTCGACACTGGAGGTCACAACCGGCCTCCCAGCGAGCAAATCCCCCCCAGCGGCACCGGCGGAGCCCCCTCCCCAAGATGCTGCTGTGGTCCCGCCACCAGAGGAAAGGGCCTGGCAAGGTCCTGGGAACGGGGAGGGTTGGGGGATGGAGAGATTTGGGGGAACGGGAGGTTTTGGGGGTGGATGGGGGGGTCCAGTGGTGGGTTTCGTTTCCCTGGTCCTGCCAGGCTCAGGCTGACCACACAGGGTGGGGGCTCAGCCCCACAGCCGGGGTACAGGGCCATGGGACCCCCCGCCCAGCACCGAGGAGGCTCCAGACCCCCCCCAGGACCCCTCCCCATGCCAAGCGTGCGGGGACAGAGCGCTGCAGCCCCCTCCTCCACGGGCCGGGGGCGGCGGGGATGGGGATGCAGTTGTCATGGCAACCCCGCATCCATCCTCAGCATCCTCAGCCGTGCTGGTGCACCAGCCCCGCTCAGCCCCACCGTGCAGCCACCCCCCC